TCCCTGCCCCTAAAGGCTTAGCCCATGGGGGAAAAGAGATAAATAACTCTAATGCACATCTGTGGGAGCTGTAGTAGACCCACGTGTGCAGATAATGCCATTAAAAATAATTTTGCTGGAAAGGGTCCATGTCTAATACCCTTATGGATCCTACTCAGTTCCTTGAACATGGTAGACACACAATGATTACGAAAGAGCCTTTGTAGGATGTTAGGAGAGCCTTAGGAGATCTCAACCCAGTTACAGGAATACAAGAGATACCATGTGAAACTGAGGCCTTTCAGATCCTTTCATAGAAAAACCCTTTGGATGAAGTTCAAGACTAATCTTTCTTATTTGGAAGCGCACTCCCTAGCAAATAGCACTGTAGTGGGACTCCAGGGTTATAATAAATGATCATTATTATATACACAGCAAAGCTAATTACTTGGGTCTGGCTGGGAGTTGAAGAAAACGAACTGATTAGGAGCTGACAAAGCCCCTTAATAGTGGGGTTCACAGCACAAACCTCAACCAAGAGTCCAGGGAAATTGAGATTCATTACCTGCTGGCATCAGTTCAAGACAACAGCATTTTTAGATGCTTGTTAACAGAACCGAAAAGATATATTTTATATCTCAGTGAGAGATGATCGTGAAATATCTAGCTATGGTCTGTCCTGGAATCAGGCCCCTGAGCAGGTCCAGCTGAGAGCACCACTGAAGTGAACGACTCCCATTGAGGCCTTCTGGAGCTTGGGAAAGGCTCTCCTTGTGTCTTCAAACGGGCATATGGACAAGAGCAGAAAAGAGGAAGGGAATGTGAGAGCCACAAGTATCAAACGAGACTTCATTTGATCCAACTGCTAAGTACTTCGTTCTTCCCAGTTTGAGGACATCACCACAAATCACGCTCACTCATCCAGTGAGCCAACAACCACAATAATTGAAAACACACCACACGGGCCAGGTCCCTGAATAAGTGCTGGGCTTACCACAATGGCCCCATCCTTAAGAAGTTCTTGGGAGGGCAGGGAATCCCTAAAAACATGCCTCCTCTGCAATCCCCACCCCCACCCCGGGCAGAAAGCATCCCACTATTCACCAAGCATAGACAGGCAAGCAGGTCCCAGCTCGCCCGAGAGAATCAGGAGGCAATAATGCACAAACCCACTTGGCCTCTAGGGTCTGCTTTTTTTCCAGCCCAGGGGGCTCTCAGGACCTACGTAAGGACAGGTGACCCACACGCCCAAGCAGCGCAGAGCATCCCGGTGGGCGAGGTGAAAGTAATCACCTGATCCAACTCTTTTTTTTTTCAGATTTTATTTATTTATTTGACAGACAGAGATCACAAGTAGCCAGAGAGGCAGGCAGAGAGAGAGGGGGGAGCAGGCTCCCCGCTGAGCAGAGAGCTCAATGTGGGGCTCGATCTCAGAACCCTGAGATCATGACCTGAGCAGAAGGCAGAGGCTCAACCCACTGAGCCACCCAGGTGCCCCCGATCCAACTCTTGATAGTTTAGCTCAGAGAGGCAAAATAACCTGCCTATGACCCCACAGCCAGGTAGGGAAGAGCCAGGACAAGGACCCAGGTCTTCTCTTCTTAGCGAAGGGCTCCCTCCAGCATGCACACTAACCCGGGGAAAGTCAATGTGTTTGCAGGCGGAGAGGACGAGTCAACATTTTGACCATGGAGGGCAGCCCAGACACTGAGGAATCCATTGAGAATGTCAGGCTGGACCTCTACTGTGCCCATGGCTCATTATCAGCTGTGACCTTTTCTCAACCCTCAGCCACTGGCAAGAGCTCTAGTTCTTAACCTTGATGAGGATGGCCGTCAGACATCTGCAGACTGTTCCATTTCCTTGGAGACAAGCGTGGCACATCTGCACTCGGCCTCTCTCCGTTCTCTACACAGAGACAGACACGCAGACGGCGAGGTGGTGTGAGCACTCAGCTATCAGGGGCCGGCCATGAGGGAACCAAAGGACACAGAGGCTGACCACTGTGAATGTGCACCCAGCTTCCCAGGTGACAGAAATGAACGCTGTGCTTACAGGCTCTATCCAAATCACAAGCATGCCCGAAACAGACACCAGGCAGGGGTAGAGAAAACAAGACAGGAAGCATCCCTTTCCCAAGCCTGGCATCAAAAGAATCAGATTGAGGAAAGACCTGTTAGATCACCTCTTGTCTAGGCCAGCTGGAGAGGGAACCCACACTAGCAATTAGCAGGGATGGAGTTTCAAAATGAGTCACAAGGTCCCACGGGCCCCCTGGGGAAGACGCTTCTCCAACTCAGCTCTCATTACTCAGTAGAAGGAAGCTGGCTTCTCTGCCAGGTGTCACCTCAGCACACAGGTGTCCTTATGGGGCGTGTGATCTTGGGCAAAAATATTTAAGGCTCTTTGACATCAGTTTCCTCATATGCAGATTGGGGACGATGCTGTGGCTTAGGGTACCTGACACATGGAGGACCCGGGGAGATGGGGAATAAGACTGCCCCCTAAGGGCAAAGCCACATAGTGCCATCATCGTGGACCAAATCAGAGGTCGACTAAGTCACCTGTGGAGACAGAATAGGCCCCACGACAGCAGACTGTGAGATGGAAGCCAACCGACAGATGATGTCAGTTGGAAGTGTGAGCTCACCAGGGTAGTGGGGAGGGGCAGGGATGGTGAGCCAGGAAGCTACACAAGTTGGTGATGAAGGCAGACCCTTGCAGAGCCTGTCAAACAGACCCCGGGACAGCATGGGCCCAACAAGGTCCCTACGAATATCCAAGGGACCCATTTATCATGGAACCAGGGGCCAGGAAACATTCCTGCCGCACAATTAGTGGACTTACTCCATTTCTCCCTTCCATGCTCACCAAACCACGTCTAACCACGTGCCTTCCCACATCACTTGCCTCAGAGAAAACATATTTTTCGGGCCCGTCAGGCTAATGGGAATATCTGGCCTGGCCAACCATTCCGTGTCTCAAAGTGAGTACAGGAACTGGTGGTCGAGTCTGCACGCGAGCCTCTCTGGATCTCTGCCAGGGTAAGTCCTGGACTCTGGAAGGCCGATCGCTCAGTACCCGGCCGGGAAGCCGCTGAGTGAGGACACGTGAGAGTGGCTGATTTCCCGAGGGGACTGGGTGCTGTGGAAGCTGACCGCATGTCCCCAAGCCCTTCCCAAGAGGTCTGATGCAGGGACACATGTAATGGGCATAGAAGCATCTTGTAATCTGGAAAGTGCCCCCACACCACAACCACTACTTCATCAGATAGGACACAAGGGCCCTCAGCCACCAGCCCCCCGCCACACGAAGGGCTGTGTAAAGCTCCCTGACACACGAGACCAGAGCCTGCCTGGGACTCAGGCTGCCTGAGTCATGAGCTGGGGTTGCACGGGCCCGTGTTTTTTTTTTCTGAGGGTACCTCTCGCTTTTAAACTCACATGGCCATCACCACCCGTGATTTATTTCACTGGCTTCAGCAACTCACCTGCCCAGGGACTCTTAAGAGGACGATATTCCAAAGACATGAAATTAATTTCATGATTAACCACTGCGTGCACACACGTGCAGTGGGGGAGGGGCAGAAAAATGCCCCTCCCCATCCCCCACCACAAGATGGGGACTCTGGCCCTACTGTGGAGGTTTATCAAGGCAAAAACATTTCAGAAGCGATTACAAATTCCCTACTGCTTGTGAATTTTTAAAGAGCTCTTTACGAACGGTATTATCATATTCTATTTTTTTCCTGTATAATTCCAGCCTCATAGCCATAACACTTTCTAGAACCTCCCCTAAAGATATTTAGGGCACGTAAGAGAACAAGTTTTGCTTTAATACATGGCAGACCTTTGTAAACGTCCATTTGAAGAGAGAAAAAATGGGCGACCTACGGAAGCAGAGTGGCCCCCGCCATGGAGTGGTGTCCAGTCCTACCCTGGCCCATGTTTTCGTGAGAAGGACACGGAGCAGATTTACATCCTCGGACCGGCAAGACGACCCCCCTTCCACGTCTCTCTCAACTACCTGGTTCTCCCAGTTTATGTCGCCTGTGACTACGTACTCGTCTTCACCGTCTAGAGTCCTGACCCTCAGGGTCTACCTCGAGTCCCACCTGAATTAACAGCATCTTGGGTTCAGAACCAAAAGCAGCTTGTGGGGTCTCTGCACTACAATGCCCCTGCGTGAGGGTGCCGCAACTGGACGTGTAAAACAAGGCCATCCTAAATCCAAAAGGTACCAGCAGAGTCAAGAAACAGAGAAACAAAAGGACTCCTCCTATATCCTCAATCTCACAAAGCCCCTTTCCGCTTCTTTCTGGAAACATACACTCTCCCCTCTGCCAATACGCACATCTAGCTTTTCCCAGAGGTTAACATCATTCTCCCACGACACGTACAAGTAGCACAAACACAGCCACACGTTTAAGCGACATTCGCCCCCTCTTTTGTGTCACCTCAGCTCAGAGGAATTCCCCCCAAATGGCTCCATTCCCCCCCCACCCCCGCCACCTTGGCTACAGCCCAGGCTTCCTGCACACGGAACAACAGCAGTGGTTGGGTCTTGAGGGACTATTCCGAGAGACGGGCTGAAGCAGCAGCAACAGGACAACACAGTGGGGCTGGGGGACTGAGGGTGATTCGGGACAGAAGGCGACAGCTGCTAAGGAAGCCTCCCCATCCACCCTCCTGCCAAACCCTCTGACTCATTATCACGTTGAATTTCAAGTACTTCCTAAGATCAAGACTCCAAGGTCCAGGTGACAAAATGCAAGGATGGCAGGAGGTGGAGCCCTGTTTGCCCACGGGACACCAGGACATGGAGCCGTTGGGCTGCGGAGGCCACTGGCCTCTACCTCTTCTGCTGCAACCGCGGCCCCTCAACACTGTTGCTGCCCTGAGCAAGACCATTCACCAGACGAGGAAGAATTCTGTCCAGGGAGCGGTCTAGCAAAGACAAGGCATCCCATGCCCACCTCCCCTGCCCCCCTCCTCACTAGTTTCTGGGTCAGAGCCCCTTACCTTCTTCTTCTTCTTCAGAATCACTTTCACTCCATCCACCGAAACCATAATGCTCACCTTCTTCTTCTTGATGTTCTTGGCTTTGAACTCATACTGCAGGGGAGGAGAGAAAGAAGCACAGTCCAGTCAGGTCAGCGTACCTGCGAGGCCCCAACTAGCTCACGCCCCAGGAGGCAGCCACAGACGGATTCTCAGGGGATGTAAAGGCAGGTGGGTATCTTGGGGTCAGCACCTGGCCACTAGGGATGACCGTGGAATGGGGTAATCCATCCTAACGAGCTGAAGACAGAGCCCGCCTTCAAAACGTCATCGGAAACCCAGAACCTTCCCTCAAAAACTCATTCTGATGTTCAACGACCTCCACTGACAGGTTTTTCCTGTGTCTACGCAAACGCTGTGGAAACTCAATTCCATCTTCACTGAGGATTAGGAAGAGCTGCTACCTAATCAGAGTATTAAAAAATTCACGAGTTCTAAGTTACTCCCTGTAAGTTCAAGTCTCAAATTCCTTTATCCGTAGGTCAGTTTCCAAGTCTACCCACAGCTCTATTAGCCTGAAATATTCTGGAGAGTATTCTAGAAGGGATCTGACTAATAGTGGTTATGAAGGAGGGCACTGCCTCACAACCCCTATGGGTCCCTATGCTGCTGACGGACACCAGCCTCATCCTCATCCTCAGACATTCTCCGTTACATTTGCTCATTCCTAGCCATTTCTTATGCCTGTGCTGACATCTGTGATGGCCGGTATAGTTCTACATTTTCCTCACTGAACTGCATCATGAGCACTGGCCCAGTTTAGTAAAGTTATTTTCATCGGGTCCCGATCTTGGGAGCAGCTCATAGCAAATATCCCCACCAAGCTAGTAAAACATCTGGGCTACAGGTTAAACAATGAAAACACAAGACCCAGAGCCAAGATCTCTACTCCAACCCGCAGCCCTCTTCTCTGGGACTTTTTATACACAACACGCTCTCCCAGCACGCCACCAGCCAAGCTTGGCACGGCATTCAGCTCCTCACCGGCACATCTAGATCCTAATTATTTCTAACTAGAAATGAACCCAATACATCCTAATGAGATGAAAACATAACCTACTTTGAACAATCTCATTAGAAATCCAGAACCTTCCATGGGCCAATACTCTGATTTTAAGGATTCAACTAAGAGCTTCCGACCCTGCCTGCCTTCTGTCCCTTCCCCCACAGTCCAAGCCAATGCTACCCTGTGGCACAGTCTGTGCTGATACCCCCAGGCTGGCTGCCGCCTGCAGACAAGGACATGACCTAACTGCAGCCAGAGGTTTTTCTTTCCATCGTGAGGGCAGGTTCTGGCTTACGGTGGATTTGAGTTTCCGGTGACAGCAACATACATCACTCCACGCTCTGGTGGCCACTCTTCCTACCCTGTCAACAGCTGTCCTTTTTGCCAAGGGGAGCTTGAAAGAAAAGCAAACCGGAGTGGCAGGCGTGTGGAGAAAGAAAACAGCAAGCTCGGACTTTGCTTCGGAGCGTGTCTGACAGCACGCACGGGAGGAGAAGCGTGTCAGACCGGCGTGTGGCTCAGGACAGGCCTCGGCCACGCACCTGATCCCTCTCTAGGGCGGCAGCTGTCAGCCGCTGAAGGCCACAGCTTGTCTGGCATGCGCCGCAGGACCTGGCTGTGATCCACGGCGAGTCCCCTGACTGCGCCTTCTGCGCGGGTACAGTGTTCGATGAACAGAAATGACCTCGGGTGGGAGAGCCAGCACGGGAACCTGCCAGTGACCGACTTTGGCCCCGTGCCCACCGGGACAGGTGAACCTGTCCTCTGTGGCTTGTCTTTGCTTTCTTCCAGGAGTTCACTCACAAGCTCCACATACTTCCTCCTTCTGCTTTTCCAGCAATAATATGAAGTATTAGGTGTCCACATCCAGAAGGCGCCATGTCCCTCCCCCAGCCCTAGTTTTAGAGAGCCCACTGCCTCCTAAACCATCTTAGAGGTCCTCCACTTCCAGAAGAATCTGGTAGCAGCTGATCATCTCTTTCTTGTTGGATCCACCTTCCCATTGGTTGCCCGGTCCCTGGTTTTTAAAAGTCAAGATTCCCCCCCACAGCCAAGGCTGGCAAGGAGGCAGCCAGCCAGCACCTGCCCACGCATCTGAAACTGCTTCTAGAGCTCACATCCTGACAAGACACGCCTTTTAATACCCTGATCTGAAGGGACGACGTAACTGAATGTCCTCTTCAGACCTGGAACACAGCCTCCCCCTCCCCCCGGTGGCTCTTCTGGGCTCTGTGGGCACAGGGCCTACCAGTAAAAGCATGACCAAAATGGCTGCCCCAGAGCCTCAGTGACAATGACAAAGCAGGTATCACTCCTGACAGCAGCTGGTGGAATGCTCTGGGGTGCTTCCATACACACAGGGGCAAGACAGGCATGAAACGGGCCGCGTCACGGCTGCCAGGACCGCCCGCGTGACATTTAGAAGAGCTCGTGGGCTGCTCACGTTCGGCACCCCTGACCCCTGCCCGGTGCGCGGGTGTCCCTGACCCTTTCCAGCCCGAGAGGAAATACTGCCACTGCAGGCCCGCCGGAAACCCCAGAAATCAAAGGAAATGAAGTGTCTGCACAGGGCCGAACAGTTATAAGTTAGGCTTATACGGCAACTGCACTTCACTTGGACAACCGGGATATTGTGCTCATGGGGGGACGAGACCGACCTGGAGGCAGGGGAGATCACAGGAGGAGCCAGGAGAGCAGAGGGCAGGGGCTCACAGGGACGAGCCTCCTTTTCCCCAGGCTGTGTGCTCTGGCTGGTGGGGGGCGGGGGGTCAGGCTCAGGAGGAAGCGTGTGTCCCGCAGGATGGAAAGCTAGGCTGCTGCGGCTCTGCCAGGGGGCGAGGGACAAAGAGGACCCCGGGGCCGCCGTCTGCACCGTCTCCAGCCTCCCGCAGAGCCCAGGCCAGCTCCGGAGGCCAAGCCAACCAGCCAGGCTCCCGCTCCGTGCGGTCAGGCTGACCTGATGTGCTGGCTCTGCCAGCCAGGGCCCCGCCACAGGGATAGATGAAGCCCTCCAGACCACAGTAACGTGCCGGGGGTCCGTCACCAGAGCCTGGGGACCTGGTGGCGGGACGGAGTGCTGTGCTGAGCAGCGGGGCCGTGCAGGGAAGGCGGGGAAGAGGGAGGTGTTCAGGTGCAAGGGAGCCTGGAGGAAACCTTCTCAGCTTCCAGAAGGGAAACTCCATACCCAGGAAACATGGGGAAGCAGGGAGACGGAGCGTGGTGACAGGGCAATGTGAGTGCTGTATGCAAACGCCATAGAGCAGTTTTCGAGAACGGTGGAAGTGGAAAATGTTATGTCTATCTTACTGCAATAAAAAGATGAAAATTGTAAACACGGTACAGAAATACAGCCCTCCTCATGGCGGGGCCACTTCAGCTCTGCTTGCTCCTACTTCTGTCCCTCTCCCGCAGGCACGTGAAACAGGCCCCCCTCTTCCATTCTTCCAGTTTCTCTTTCCTGTGACTGGGATGCCCCCCCTCCACCTGCGTGGTGGGCTCCTGCTTCTTCTGGAATTATCCTGGGAGACTTCTGCACAGCAAAGCCTCGCAGGTCCGCAGCCTGATTCCTCCCCCCGGGGCTGAGCCATCATCGGGGACTCGACAGCCATCCACAAGCCTCTAGAATCACTCCCCACTGACTGGTTGTTGACCTCCCCGCTAGGCCAGGCCCACCCTTTTGAGAACAAGAAATAGGACCTATCTGTCCCCAAGAAACTAGCTCCAGGACACGAGAGGGTGATAAAGGAATATCAAATAAATTCATGAAGTCAGTTGACGGTGGTTATTCATAGACCCCGAAGGAAACGTGACACTGTCCGCAAAGGTAAAATAAACACTCCTGAAGTTAATTAATAAATGAACTGAAGTTATTAAAACCTAGGTTCCATTTTATCAGCATAAGGGCTTTGAGAAGATGTGACTTCCCGAATTCTTCCTTACTCCACACACACTGCTAATCATCTTAATTTCTGCTGGCTCCATATACTTCATTTAATAAAATAATTCAGCTTTCATTATTGATCAAGGCTGTTCCCAATCATCTGATGGTGCCAGAGGAACCTCTGTTCCCTTGGCTATCCTGCTTCCCTAAGTTCCAGCTCCTGTGCCTGGGCAGCCAAAATATGAGGGACGAGGTGCTCGGGAACTGTGGCAGTGCCTGGCCCCACCGGGTAGCACAGTGACTTGAACTGCTCATTCTTGTGAAGCCACAGACATGTGAGCAAGACTCCATGTCACTCGGCATCAGGGAACTACAATCCACAGTGAGATCCCACCTCACGCCCGTCAGAATGGCTAAAATGAACATGTCAGGAAATGACAGATGTTGGCGAGGATGCGGACGAAGAAAGGGTACTCCTCTTCCGCTGTTGGTGGGAACGCAAGCTGGTGCAGCCACTCTGGAAAACCGTATGGAGATTCCTCAAAAAGTTGAAAATAGAGCCACCCTACAACCCAGCAATTGCATGACTAGGTATTTACCTCAAAGATACAAATGTAGTGATCCGAAGGCGCACCTGCACCCCAATGTTTATAGCAGCAATGTCCACAGTAGCCAAACTATGGAAAGGCTCCAGGTGTCCATCGACAGATGAATGGATAAAGAAGATGTGGTGTATATATGTATACAAAGGAATGCTACTCAGACATCAAAAAAAATGAAATCTTGCCATTTACAATGATGTGGCTAGAATCAGAAGGTATTTTGCTAAGTGAAATAAGTCGATCAGAGAAAATTATCGTATGATCTCACTCATATGTGGAATTTAAGAAACAAAACAGGATAGTAATGGAAGGGAGGGAAAAATAAAAGAAGAAGAAATCAGAGAGGAAGACAAACCTTAAGGGACTCTTAATCATAGGCAACAAACTAAGGATTGCTGGAGTGGGGGTGTTGGGGGGATGGGGTAACTGGCTGATGGCCATTAAGGAGGGCACATGATATAATGAACACTGGGTATTAAATATATATATATAAATATTTATATGATATTATATAAGATATTATATATACTATAATATATAATTAATTACTAAATTAAGTTTAATT